GGATTAAGGAATCCTGGGCTTTGGAATTCCGAATACAGCTCAAGGAATCCGGATGTCAAGTTCTACTGCCAAAGATTCCGGATTCTAGGTACTGGTGTGGTATCCAGAATCCATGACAGTCTTGGAATTCCCTTTCACAGGACGAAAAAGACAGTCTACATGCAGGCTGGTGGTCTTGGGAAATTAATTTTGGCATTGCTTATCTCGGGTATCTAGTTATTCCCATGTAAGCGAATCCAGATTCCGGAATCCGGGAAATTTTGCTTGTGGAATCCGCAATCCTGGACTCTATATTCCGGAATACAGCTAATGGGATCTGGAATCCCACGAACGATTAGAATCCGGAATCCAAGTTCCACTGACAAGGACAGAAATTCAGTACCTGGAATCCGGAATCCACAGCGTGGAATCCAGAATCCAAGACTTTCTTGAATTCACTTTTTACATGAGGCAAATCTAATGGCACTACTGTCCGATTTCTTTGAATATAAAGGCCATTCATTAGTACAGGTTAGAATATCTTAAAACAAGAAAGTCGGACATCGAAGCAAAGGGGAATCACTTCAGTCCTTACAACAAAGTGAGATCTTAGAACGGAAACAAAAAAAGAAATAACTTACAGTAAAATCAGGCACATGGGCTTCCTGCGGAACTTTCTAGAAACAATTCAGGTGACATCAATGTATTTCAGTTGATCACATCAACGTGTGTTGGAATTGAGTTTTAGTCTCTTCCTATTTGTTGTGGTTGTGAATCGACTTTCAGATTCGTAGACAAAGAAATGTTATCAGCCAAACAGCTGTCTGAGCTACCTCAACCAGGATGCGGAAATGTTACACGTGACTGAACACAGACGTAGTTATAATTTTTGAGGGTTTATTAGAAACCAGTGTTGCTTCAACTAAATTACAATAAACGCGTACGTCTTAAAAGTAAGTTGCGAGCTATAAGCGAACATTCCAATGAAAAAGTGCAAGTAAGAAATCGCCAGACATCGATCAAGCACATGAACAGACGTTTAAGCTTTAGTGTAATTTCTCCTTAATTTGCCTGTGACTTAAAGAGGCTCCAGAATGAAGCGCGGTTTTTTTCAAGTGAAGGGTTCACTTTTGGAGAGCGCAGGTCCCTCGTGAGACTAAATGCTTTGAAAAGGGAGTTGGCATTTTGCAAGTCCCGAAATTCTTAGACTAGCTATATTCCTTGGTAGAAAGTTAGTTGGCAGTGGAGCACGACCAACTTACATGACACAATTAGGACTTAATACTACAAAGTGGAGGTATTTAAGGTTGTAAGATCAAATCCTTAATGCACGATCTGATAGCTCGTACCAAAGATTGATATCGCCTGCAATGGCTGAAGGTGATAGCGCTGTTGCAAATTTATAGTACAGAAATAGAGTGCTCACGACAGTACAACACGAAACCAAAAAGTCTGCGGATTATTAATAGTTCGCCTCCTTTTACATTGCTCATCCAATGAGAAAGCGATGGGATCAAAAGTATGCGAATTTTAATTAAACGTGTTTACCGGCTCAACAAACGATAACCAACCAGGCTGAGTCGAAGAATATATTTATTTCTAAAGGGTCTTTACCAGTGATGAGAACTTCGAGGTTTTTCCTTTGCACAATTATGACCAATTGGTCTTTAATCCGGGAAATTGTTTCAGTGTTTCAACTGACGTTGAAAACTCGAAGCTGGCGATATAAAGGAGTCTTCTAAAATAGCATAGGCTGGAGGTTGGCAAAAAGTACCCGGGGGAATAGTTCAGAAGAAGGATCATGCCCCAAGATCTCCACGGAATCGTGCTCACTGATTTGAGGTGTTAATTTGCATAATATATTTATAAGAGAAATAACAAGACGCGAACTTCCCGTATAAATAATCAGAAGAACTTGAATTTACTTGGGTCGAAATCACTCTAGCAAAAGCTGATTTTAACGAATTTAACTTGAATCTTGAGAGAAGCTCCTTGATTCTTATTCTTAGCGATGTAAATCTGTAAAATAAGATCTCATATAACAGCAATTCAAAGAAACTCAGCTCTCATATCCACCCATGCAGTTGTGTGAAATGATTGATATCCATCATCAAGTATATTCCACGAGCATCACACTTAAAATTCCTCTTCTCATGATGACTGGCCAGCTGGCTTTACAACATTACAAATGATACTAGGATTAGAACAGATTCTGTTGTCAACACGCCATCAAATGGTGAATAACTTAGAATCTATAGCAAAACTGAGATTAACGCCAATCCCTGGGAACTTTGTCCACAATCAATTGCAAGCAACCCTTATAATGGCCTATACGTGTAGGTTGCCCCCGAAATGGGTAACTTTTTCAGGCTTCAGGTACTTGAAAGGGTACGGATTTCACTAGTTATAGTTACATGGTAAGAAAATCTGTCATTTCGACTGTGAAAGGACCTAAAAGGGCTAACCACACGCATTTACTGACTGTGAAGAAGAGAAGAGAACTTCCTACTTTTATTATGTAGCCGTAGCAACGGTGATATTTTCACATGTGAAGATATCAAGTTTTCGCGCGAAAGCTCACCTAGTATTTCATTGATGTTTATATAATAAAAAGAATTAACCTGTGGATTTGAGCCAATCAGAAACGGAGAAATCTTTTGAATGTTTAATAATTCTTTTAATTTTTTTAAAATTGAATTATGTTTATTTGGGGCTTAACAGATCACGTATATATCAGTTTATGACCCTGCTTTGACAATAAATATGATAAAGGAACTTTGAGCTTGTAGTTTTTTCTCCATAGAGCGTTCTCATTGGTTTCTTCGAGTTTACCATGACATCTAGATATAACACTGAAACTGTCTCGGGTAACGGGGAAAAATCTATGAAGTCAAAGGATAACAGTCAGTGCTCTTATCCACGACTGTTTCTTGGTGGGCTTAACATATAATCAAACTCAAATTACTTCAGTGATTGGGAAGCTAGTCAATTTTGTTTCGACTTTGAAAAGATACAAAATGAACAACATAACGAGAGACCAGCCAGTAAGTATTTAATGGTAAAGCAGCAAGAGTAATATATATTCAAACAGTGATAATGTCTTTTTTTCAATCAATTCGAAAAACTGGTTTTCTGTCAAAACTACTTTTAATTCCTACTTTAAACAATAAACTCTCGATTACAAATTGGTGCTTCTCATTCCTGTAAAAAGTACTGTATTGATTTTCTTCTTTGAGCTCATCTCCATATTTGGATAGTTGAGCGCACCTTCAAGGTCATACTGGTAAATTCGAATGTAAATCACTGTATAAACTATACCAGGGGTTCGTGTCTGTCTCCAAAGTCCTGGTAATTACCAGGCTCCGAAAGCTACCCTGTTTACATTTATTGGAGATTTCAATAATGATTTCAATAAGTTTGCTTTGGGCCCGGAAAGTTACCGAGACGTTCGAGAAAGGGGCCAGAAAAAGGCGTCCAGATGGCTCCGTTTAAATTGAAAATGGTAAAGTGTTATTGGATGTGTGGAGGTAGCGTAGCAGATTAGAGAGTCAATCAACCACTTACACACCCTTGTAAATAGATTAAGCCGACTAATTTGCCTCCCGCCAGTTGGGTTTTTTAATCTGGCCCCAGTTGTTCAAAAGTTGGATAGCGCTATATCCACCGGATAAATCACTATCCCGAGTGGATAAGTATTAGGAGAACCAATTGCACTATCCACTGGATAGAGATTTATCCGCTGGATAGCGCTATCCACCTTTTCAACAACTCGGGCCTAAATGTTACACAGGGAGGCCAGGCACTTTATGGCCTAGTCATTCCAGTGCAATAAGATCAAAGTAATTCTGAACCTGTGTGTCTGTGGTATGTGTGTCTTTCTCTTGGTCTTTTTGAAAGACGGTTTCTTCCATAAGAAACGGGATCCATCAACGTTATAATACAAATTCCTTCCAAAACGACAAAAGCTAGGAAAACATAAACATACACACAAGTAAATCCTTTCGATTTTATTGCGATTGTAATGGCCGTGTCATGAATTAGCTGTATAAAGCATTTTAGTAAAATCCAACTAGTGGTCTATTATCAACGCTCCGTTCTGATTGGTTCAAGCTACTACTAGGCTATATGTTATAGCCTACTAGTAGCGAAAAGCGCAGGCTTTTTGGCAGCAAAAAAGGATTAAAGTCTAGCTTTAACCAGCTAAAATTTTTTATTCTCGATATTTTTGACCAGCTAGTTGGACTTTGCTAAAACAATTATTCCTCTCGCTCTCATGGGCTATTGACTCTGAGCCCATGCGGACTCGAGGAATAATTGTTAAATAGCTCTCTGTGATTACGTTGAGTTTAAACCACTTATATATTCTTACTTAACAAATTTGCTCTGCCCAACTACGCCCTGTTCTATGGATAATGCCGAGAACAAGTATGTCTGTATTGAACCACGATGGTATATAACTTTAGAACTACGCACAGCCATGCGAATGTCATGAGATAACATGTTCAGTTGTGTTTATCATAACCTGGATTTGCGTCGCTTGCAAACGTCTCGGCACTCAAACACGAAAATTTATCAGAACCTGATTTGTAGATAACGCTGGCGTTAAGCATTCAGCTGGAAAAAAGTTTACAAATCGGTCTGTGGAGAGGAGAACAGCCAACTAAGCCAGAGTTGCTCGAGGCGTAGCCGATTAGCAACTCTTACCTACGCTTCTTCCGTGCTTACCGAACTCCCTGCTTCCTACGTGCATCAGCCATTAAACTCTATATACAATTAAAGCATGAACCAGTTTTCTTCGACGATTAAAACCGCTCACTTACCACATAACTACATGTCCTTAGAGATTGTTAACACTAAACTCAGTTTTTACCACCTTGCTGTTGCTATTAAAATTGCAATTAATTAAATTCTAAGAACTAATTTCTTTAGTAAATAAAGAAAGAGCTTAATCTAACTGATGTTTCTATATACTCTAGACTCTCTTAAAGTCAGTTTTCGCCTGCTCAAGTAAAGGAAATCCATTAAAAGGTTATGAGGTATTCAGGGTAGCATTGAGTGTCGAAGAAAACAACGAAAATGGAAGGGTTTCCTGGGTTATTAACCACTGACTCGTACAAGATCTCTGGTCTGGAAGGGTTCTTAGGTGGAGGCACGATCATACTGGGGTTTCCTGTACAATATTTCCCAACCAGAACCCTGGCAAGGTACATAAAGCGACCCCCGCTCCCACCCCCTGCATATCCAACTGAGTAAGAAGCGTCTCTGGCAAAATACACACCGCGTCCATAGGCAGTTCCTGGAAGAAAAAAAAATAATGGTAGCAGTCAGCCTTTCGTCAACAGTCAATCCTAACCATGATAGTTTAGGTTTTTATGATGTCTTCAACTAAGAGCCAAAATGCTAACTACCCCAAATTGTAGAATAGGGTCTAGACGGGGGTAATGGAATCTCAGTTACCCGTTACTGTAAATTTTCGGCCATTTATCAACTGTTAGTTAAAAGTTTGGTCATTTCTCAGTATCAATTAGTTTTTGACCGATCTCAGTAACTTTTTTCTTAATTTTGCTTATTAACTCTATAAATTCCTAATTGTGCACTATCGCATTTTTTAATACGTCACAGAATAGATTAATTATTTAATATCAGAGACTCCAGAAGCTTTCGAAGATTGTATGACTGTTTCCCGCACCAAACGATACTGAATACAATCCCACCACCTTGGAATGCCGATACACCTGATCTTGCTGGTTCTTGCTATGTTTTCAGGCAAAAGTTTACGGAGCACATCTTCGCAAAAAGAAAGGAATTTATCTTCATTTCCTCCAACTCTACCTTAAAAAAGCTGAGCTAAGAAACGCAGTCTCGACCCAAGGTGTTCTCGAAAGCTGTCCTTTTTCCTGCAGTTATATCCTGCTTTTCAGTTTGCCGTCATTTTAATGCTGCGGATATCGCAAACGTCTTCCAAATTTGGTCTACGCTAGCTGGTTATGAGGAATTAGCCGGGAGAATGAGTAATATTGTTCAATATTCCCCTTAGGGCCTCTTCATATGAGCCCGGTTGACCAGGCTGGCTAGGTTACCGGGATGAATTTTGCCTTGGGTTCATATGAGAAATTTCAGCTCGGTTTCCGAGATGAGAAAAGGTCAAAGATCCTGAGAAAGAGTTCTGGTGCCAAATTCGGGAAACAAAGCAAACATAACTTTCGCGCCTATCTTACCATCGGTAATTCTTAAAGCTGTATCACTGCAGTTAAATGGGATGCTTATGATGTGGAAAATACAGCTGGCAATGCAAGACGATGCCATCCGGACCGCCAGAATTCATCCCGCCATTCATCCCTGTAACCGGGATGAAGTGTTCATATGGCAAAATTTCCAGCCCGCTTACCGAGATCGCGGTTGGAAAAACCGAGATCTCGGTAACCGAGCCAGCCCACCCTCTCATATGAACATATCGAAAATTTTACAAAGGATTTAGAGGTGAGGCGAGATCTCGGAAACCGGGTCAGCTCGGTCAATCGGGCTCATATGAAGAGGCCTTACACTATTCAACAATGTTAACTGAGCCTGAGGTGAATAATCGCTTTAGTATAATTACTCAGGTGATTATCGGAGAGAAAAAGGAAACCTACAGTTCAAAATTTTCTAATATTGTCAGTTTACGGTGCATTGTTTGCGCATTCAGCCACCATGCTTCCTAGAGAATAATGCGATCGAAAAGCGAGGATATTTTACGAGAAACTAATCTCTCGCACTATATTTTCAGCTGTTTTTAGAACTGGCTTTGTAAAGTTGCCTAGTTTCATAAATCCTTTAGGATCCTTCTTAACGTTTTGCTTATCTATTTGTTGTTTCAATCGTTCTCACAGACATGACAGTGATGCCACTTTCATTCATGGCAATAGAAAAACTTCAAAAGACTTATCATCTTGTTTCCTTCAACTTTTCAACTTGCCTCTGTTGGAGGAACCAGTCTGATTAATATTTGAACAGATGAAACTTTTTTTTTTTGCTGTTTTTTATATATACCATTTACACTTAAGTGTAGAAGTCTTTCACATAGCTATTAAACAATCACAACCATTACCCTGAAATGATATAATAATTATAATAAGATACGTAATGCAAACACTACCCCCGAAATGTAACGACACTTGACTAAACGTGCAACAATAACCCGCCACCCGAATTGTAAATAAACAGTATGAGTCCCTCTACCGTAGACGAAAAAGTTCGTGTTCAAGTACACAGTGCATTTCAAGAGTTGTAACTCACCATGCGCCCCACAAAAACTCCTGTTGAATCCTTGTGTGTTTATTGCACGTATATTTTTAGCGTCGGTTCCATGGAACAGATGTAGTTCGTTGTTTCCTCCGTTGTCTTTATCCATTTTCTGTTTTCGTACCATGTACTGCTTGTAAAGATGAGGATTCTGAATTCGCTCGATTTTCTGAATATGCATTCCTCGAGCAGTTTGTTGAAATTTGCTCACGACATTTTGATACTCAGAGGAGCCCGGGACGAGAGCCACAGTATGTACTTCCATATCAGCGCGTGGCATTGGAGCCCAAGTGCTCGGAAGAGAAATTCCTTTGGGAGAAAGAATCAGTACTTTCAATTTCACTTTGCTTTAGGAGAAGTACAATTACTGGTTGAGGGAGTTTTCATCAGTTGGCCGTCATTCGAAGAGAATCTACAAAATTTCACTGTAGCAATGTGCAACCTTGGCTTTTTTATTTATAATAATTTCTGGTGGAATTGTAAAAAAAGATCTACTAGAACTCTTGATATTAAACTTAGATAGCCAAAAGGATAAGGCCCATGGGAGTTCACCTGGATCCCCTTATTAACTTGTTTTGGACATCCGTGAAAATCAAGGAAGTGGAGGTTTTGGTTGACACGAGAAGCGTTGAAGGAAAATATCAGCCAGTGGCCCCAGATCTCTGCAGTGCAAAACGGTCTCGCCTCTCGGTTAATGGGCTAATCGGCCCTTTCCGCCAAGATTTGGTATGTGCTTTCCTTAACCAGATGCCCCTTGTGTGTTTAGTCTGATTCTCGGCTGTAAAAAGAGTAGGCGCGATCTAGTACCTTAGTCCTTTGACTTTGGTGACTATTCTGTTGCTGGTACCAAATTCAGAAATGATTGTAGCATTTGTTCTCTATGCAAGCAGTATATCGCATAGCTTAGTTTACAGGTTTTTCGCGCTTGAAATCCGTTAATTATGTACTAACCTTCTTCAGCTCCCTTGACCTTTCTGAATAGTGTAATTGTTTCACCATTCTGCTGTCCGCGGCCAGTTTTATTTTTCAAATTAATGTCAAATTTATCTCCCAGCAGAGATATCTGTACTGTGGGTTGCTCTTTAATGTGCGCCATCTCAAGCTTTCCGTTTGCCTTCGGGCTAAACACCATTTTCTTGCCTTGTCTTTCATAGCTCCATTCTACGCTCTTTGAAACCATCATCGCCCGCTCCTCCTCCTGTATCTTCTTATTTCTCTCGTTAATCTCCTGCCAAATCTCCCCGACCATGCCTGGCACTTCAACTGGGCCACCCTTCACCACAATGCGATCAACATCAACCTCAATTTCGAGTTTGACGTCAAGTTCTTTGGCTTTCCTTCTCAGACTGTTAATCTGCTTTGGTGACAGTTTGCTGACGGTTTCATTTTCGACTTTTTGAGTAGTGCAAGCTTCAGAGAAACGTTTCTTCAAAGCCCCTACCGCTTTACCGACGCTTCCTTTATCCTTTCCCACCACTAAGATTTTCACAGAATGATCAGCTGTTGAACTCGAATTAGTCGCGGTATTTTTTCTTTGCCTAGCAATTCTGGGTCTTTCAGCAACTTCATCATCTGCAGTGGAGTCACTCTCTTGTTCATCCATATCCTGCATTGCCTGTCTCTGTTGCGCCAACAAAAATTCCTGAACCATTTGAGCTTGAAAGACAACGACACGCACGTTGCGAAGGTTTTGACAACTTCCTCTTAAGGAGCTGAGAGCTTGGAATGTTACCTGAGCCGAGTCCGCTGCCGTCAAACCAAATCCACCAGTGCCTACGCATGGAATTGATATTGTTTGAAGGTTCTTTTGATCTGCTAGACGAAGGCCAGCTTCCAAACATGTCTGAAGATGTTGTTTATCTTGGGAGGCTGCAAGTAAAAAAATGAACATAAGTTTGACATTTAATAAATGAACAAAAAATTAATATAATATTGTTGAATTTTACACTAAAGAGCAGCAAGAAAACTGAAGGTTTGGAATGTTGCATCGTTGGCGAACAAATGGCGATAGGAGTAAACGAGATTACAATTGAAGCTCATTGGTTTCTATTAGTCCTGTCTTCCCTTACTGTGTCAACTTTGTCGTGGGGCCCAATTTCACGCGCGAACTGGAGTGTTTGGATCTCCCTAAGTATCCCTGACAATAGCCTACTCCGCAGGCAAAGTCTTTTGTAACGGTTACATTGACCGTGAAGAGTGTGGGAGAATATCGCTACATCACAATTCGCCACTTCCGCATTGAGGTATATTTGGGTAATGTGACAGTGGTTGATAAGGAAAAGGCCGTAATCGTCTTTTTCTTTTGAAGATTTTATCATTTTTGAGAGGAGACGATGCGTTGCATGGTCTATTGGAGGCCATATTTCCTGTATAACAACATCAAATAAAGAAAACTCAACCAGTACCTGGAATAATATGGATTATATGGCGTACTGCTAAATTTCCGCTACCAGTCATCAACGCTGTCCCAGCAGGTTGATTACTATATTGACTGCATTCTTGTTGGATCTGTATGCCACCAGCCGCTAAGATAGCTTTGCTAAGATCACCAGCGTTGTTCATGTTCATGTCAGTGCTGTTAATGTTCATAATGGCGTCTGTGTTCTCTTTTGTTAAATCACCACTTACTACTTTAATATTCAAGCCTCTCTGCCTACCAACACGTGGAAAGGCTAGGCCCTGCCTGGCTAGAGGTTGAGAGACATGGCCCTGATTAGAATACAGCGGATGATTCTGCTGTTCTTGTTGGAATGCCTGAAGCATAGGACCTTGGAACACCACGATTCTAACTTTTTTGATGACGTTGAAACGAGCACTAAAATTACTGAGAGCTTGAAATATTAGGCTGGCTGAATCAGCCGCTGACATGTGAAAAGATCCCGTTCCTACCGCTGGAAATGAAATGGACTGAAAACCACGAGTCTCTGCCACACCAAGGCACTTTTCCACGCATTGTTGCAAGTGATTTTTGTCGGCAGTATCTGGTATCAAGTGGATGATATTACGGGCCGTTAGATTTCCACCACTGGTAACCACCACTGACCCACCCGTTTGATGTCCCAGTTGAGAGCACTCGTCCTGAACAACTTGACCAGCGGCCTGTTTCACCGCCTTGCTCAATGCCCCGGCGCTATCCATATTCATATCTTTGCTGTTGAGGTTAACAATGACATCTGTTGCCTCCTGGCACAAATTTCCTTGCAAAACGTCCACACTAATACCGACGGCTGGCCTTGCTGGGTTCCGATGGACCCTTCCAAATTTGGACCGTAGGTGCCTTAAAAGACCACCCATCGTGTATCCAGGACGAACACTGTACTTGGATTGCAATTTATCAAACTCTTGCGCAAAGTTAGCGGTTAGTACCTGATCTTGCTGAAACACGGCGAATCGAATATCTTTCACCACAGATGAGGGATTATTTTGACAAAAGTTGATGGTTTCTTCCAACATGATCCTGGAAGCTACGTCTTGAGGAAAGTGGAGGTTTCCAGTGCCTATGATTGGAAATACTATTGATGCTCCTCCGAGTTCATCCGCCTTCTGAAGACACATTTGGATAATGCCTCGTAAGACCTTGAATAAAACATGAACATTGACTGCACGATTGACAATAATTGGTTTTGTACGGATAAACAAGCTGAAAAAACCCTTTAGGAGTTGATTGATTAACATTATCTCAACTATCTATTCGCCATTTTGGAAACGAGAAGGGGACTGTAAGGAGACACCTGTCAACTATGGGCCAATTTTTTCGCTGTCCCTGATAACAGCCCTCAGAAGTCTTTGCGAAAATTAACTCGGCCCAGTTTCCTTGGCGTTTTGTTAGTGGTAAATGGTGGAAATCTAGTTCTAAGCTGGTGTGAAATTGTCAAATGTGATACGTGTCGACCAAAATTTTCTTCGACATGTTTCACAAAGAGTGTTAACCGCAAAAATTGAGGGCTCTGTGGCTTTTTGGATAGGATGCCTGATAATGCTCATTAGAATAAGTTAGGGTTCCAATTATCCCTTACCTGCTCCCCCGTTCCACCATGCCACTTGGAACAGTTCGTATGGATCACGTGGTTACAGGCCAGGTTATATCCAGGAGTAACTGCGACGTCACCAGCGTTTGGAGTTACCAAGTTTTGCCTCATTGCCTGCCCACCCGCATTGACAATCGCCTGGGAGCATGCACCTTGTGAACTGACCAGAATGTCGGCCTGCAATTAAAGTCAAACAACAAAGAGAGTTCATAAAGGCTAAAAAGCTCCGCGATATCATTTAAGATTGGGCATCTGTCTTTACTTTAGCCTTGCACTACCACGCTACCAATAACATGCAGCGACGTAAGCATTCACGTTTAATTAGGTACACTGGATTACTTCTACAGTCTACTCCCGGTAACTCGAACCCTCTATAACTCGAAGCAATTTTCATTTCCCTTCAGATCATTTCCTATGTAATTTTACCCTCGATAACTCGACCTCCCGATAACTCGAACCTTTTTCTATTTCCCCTGAAGGTTCGAATTCGCGGGAGTCGACTGTATCTGTTGCGATTGGCGACGGCTAATTATGACTGGACGTCACAGAGACGGAAGTTTTAGCTAAAAACAATACAATAAACGTTACTGCCATATTTGGGATAAATAGATTTGTGTCGCTCTGAAGGGTACAACTGTAATTTCATGCAAATTACTCAGGGATAGCGTTACTAATTTTGCCCTAGAATAGGATATCACTATTGGAAAATTGATGAGCCGTGTAAGGAATCAGGCGTTCCTAGTTCATAGTAAGTCTGGGACAGGTTGGGGATTTTGGATCCTTAACAAAAAGTAGGACAGGAAAGTTACAGATACTCGTCGAGTGAAAAAGGCTAAGGACTCCAGGCTTCAACTGCAAGTGAACCCCACACAAAAAGTATTATAATTTAAGAAAACCCACTCCTTTTTTCGGATAGAAAAATGATAAATGAATTGCTTTAGTCTATGAAGACTATGATGGATCATAAATTGGTAGTCGGTTTTATACTGACAGGGAATGAAATAATGTACGATGAGGGGGCTATTCTTAAATACGGATAACTGATTACTCCTTCACAACAATCAGAAAATCCATTTACGTTTTCAGCAGAAAACTTGGCAATACTGAGAAGAGAAATTGTCTATTTTACAGCCGAGGACAATTCGATCCTTTTTTAATTCAAACAGCCCAGGGAAATAATCTATAGTTTATATTAGTAATTAGAAACCGAACAGACCTGCTGCGCTACGATGTTTCCTGGTTTCCACGAAATTTTGTGCCCACTTCCCATGACAAGAGTGGAAGAGTCAGCGCTGCTGGCTGCAGCCGCCATATCCTCTTCCCCACTATCATCGTCATCGTCGTTTGATGAATCAGATGTTTTGACAGGAGTCTGCACGTCAAATTGTTTCTGGACCTGGATAACGCATGCGTTATCTTTTTCCACAGTTGCTACAAGGGAATCGCCGTTTCCGCTGGCAAAAAGTTTCTTAAGTCCTGGCTGTTTCACGTGAAAAATCTCACATTCGGTACTATCTGCGAGGGCTTGCAGCTTTCTTTTCGCTCGTTTTATCCCCTCTTTGTTTCCCCCAATGACAAATTCATCATCACCTCTTCCTGTTTGAATCTTGACTTCATAGTCCTTGAGTTGAACTTCAATTGAAGACAAGTCACCTTGACGAAGCTCAGAGAGATATTTTCGGACTAACTTAGAAGAACATTTCACTTGCTCTTCTCGGATACAGTTATCATCTAGGTACGTAGTTAGCGTTTTTATTGCTTCATGCACATCTTCTCTGAACCCGGATACGTACGTGTCATTCCAGTTGTTCCGATACACCCGGACAGTTGAGATGGTGTTGAGTTGCTCACATAGTTGGCGCCATTCTGTGGTTTTTAAAAGATGCTGACTGTTTGCATCCACTCGAACTTTTTCTTCTGATGTCATCTTACTAACAAGACTGGCAGCCTTGTCTGCATGCGCTGCTGACGTGCCTATGATCCGAGCCTCGCTATCGATCACGAAAACAGCCTCTACGTTGTTTTTCTCCAATTCACATTTGACTTTCTCCAGCCCTTCATCTAAAGACAAAATTTCCAAAATGTTTTTTGAAAGGCTTAATTTCTTTTCAACCATGCCCGAATATTGTTTGTGAAATTTCATGGTTGCTTCCAGGAACTGTGGTTGTGGGCCTTCAAAATAGATTTCCTCTGCTTCAGTGTCTATTTTTATCTCCAGTTCTTTGTTTTTTTCTTGAAGTTTTTCCACAAAGCGGATCTTTTTTAACAAAATTAAATGTTCTACAGGAACTACCTCCGTTTTCTTCAAATACATTTTTCTGGTTTCCTTCCGGTATATGTCCTCTAACTTTGCTTTTAATTTCTTTTTCAGATCTTCTGCATCCGAACTCAGGGAAACAATTCTTACCACGAAAGAATCATGGATAATTTTAACCAGCGGAGGCTCCACACCGAAACAGGTGCGAATGTCTGGTAACTGAGCTTTCACGGCTTCCCAGAAATCCTGGTTCACTTGAACATCTTGCTTTGTAAATTTCGCAAGCCACGTTTGTACCTCCTCAATACATTCCGACTGCCACAAATCACTTTTATCTTGTCCGCGGTACAATAGAACGGCTGTTTTGTTGTTTACCTTCCAATTAATTTCACACGTCTTCGTAGCCAACGCCATTTTAACTTGGTCATGAAGTGACGTACTTGTGAAATATTCCATCACATCCGGGTCCACAGCCATGTGAAGCTCCTGTGCTTTCGCCTCAGACCGCTGGCTCGCTGATGTGCTATGGCTGTCCTCTGTATGCTTTTGCTTTTCAACCAAAACGTCAAATGCAGCGTCATCGTCATTCTCCAGTAAATCGTTAAAGACTCTGACGGTGAGTTCAGCTTTATTTAAGACAAATGGCCTTTCACTCTGTCTAGCTAAGACTCTTTCCATATCTGTTAATGAAAAGGTCAAAGATTAAACAATGACTCCCTCGAAAACTGGATTGCAAAAAGCAAAGAAAGTTTTTTTTGTACTTAGCTAAAAATTCCAGAAATGAGGCGCTCTCCGGCCAAGTTTTTTTTGTGCGTATTTGCGCATATTAACTTGTGTCATAAGAATATCAAAACTGGTTCGGCATGCATTTACCAGAAAGCAGAAGGACACACTGTAAGTAGTAGTTTTCTCCATTTTAACCAAAAAGGGACAACGAGCATTAATGGGGCGGTTGAATTCTGACCTGTTGAATTCTGAAACACTACCACAGCTCGACCACTTTCAGGTTTAAACCTCACTGTCTCCACAGGACCACCATTGTTCCTTGGACTTTCAAAGAACAGCTCAATGGCATCTTGGGTGGTGTCCTCTGAAATGCTGCTGACGAGAATGCTCCTGCACACAGGAACTTGTTGGATTGTGACCCGAGCGTAGTCCATTTCCCTCTTTTCACCCTTCTCTTTGATTTTACGAAAATCTAATGAATAAAAGGTAAGAAAAATCTGCTTTAATTACACTAACACGAGCGAAGCTTTTCTTGTGTTCTCCCAACATCCCAGGTGGGTTAACACGCCTGTACACCCATAGAAAGTGTGGTCTAATGCTTTTATTAAATAACTTTGAAGCATGTTTTTGTTTTCTATAAGTTTACCGGCACAATAAACCATAGGTTTTTAACCAACAAGAACACGCGTACTATCTTAGTGATTTTATAATAGTAATTATTATTCATTCAAAATATTTCCCCAATTCTGATTGGCTAAAAGCACACGTTTAATTCACCATAACCAGTTACTGATGACCAAATTTGGAAGAATTTTGTGTTTAACGAGGAAATGACGTCAAAAGTGCAGCCTTCTACAGGTTAATGCACCGTTAACCGAGAAGATTGGGGGCGAGATTGAGTTGTTTTCGTTGTAAAAACTAAAATGGCTGACACTTCACTCGTTTCAAGAGTAAGAACTACAGCTGGAACTAGGCGAAATAATGGCTAAAAACATAGCAAAAACAGCAAGAAGACAACTCGGAGGGCGATATCTGCTATTTGGAGAATATATGCCGAGCTGGAAAAACCTAAACGTAAACTATCGAAGATAAACTTAACATCGATGCAGGTAAGCTTGTTTTAGCTATGTTTTTAAACTAGGAATTATTTTGAATGAATAATACAACAGTTATTGAATTCGGCTTTCGTATCATATGAAGAATTACGGAGATCTCGGAGGGTGTTATCCGCCTCGGCCTACGGCCTCGACGGATAACACCCTCCTCGATCTCCATAATTCTTCATAAGATACTCAGCCTCATTCATTAATTGTTAAATATATCCAAGAGTTGGGTTTTCAAGGATCATCCAATTGTGCCCTCTGATGATACACCACTTAAAATATTACTCTGATCATGAGTTTAGCGTCGTTGCTGAGTCACCCATACCGCATAGAAAATAGTCCAGGGTCATAAATGCGAGTAAATGAATCACTCAGCTACAGTAAAAATTTGTCTTAACTGCAGGAGGTCTCACTACACCACTAAATCACTGGTAACTTTGGCTGTTTTTACGGGTGAAAATGGGCCTCGCAATTTTTAACCAGCTACGCCCGAAGAACTGCAAGTTCAACTTTCTGCCTGGTCTTCTATACTGGACGATACAGTCCCAGCAAAGACGTCAAAAGCACCATGCACTTGTCTTTTATTCACGAAAAGAAATATTGGAACAAGAGATTCTGAGGGTTGTAATTGGTTCTTACCAAATTTGACAGTGAAAGGACCAAAACGTTGCAGGACCGTTGACTTTGTCGAAGACCCCTTTAGCTCTAATAAGTTATTGATGTTATATTTCTGATTTTTTCACATAATTTGCCTCGATCCATGGAAATCCGAGACCGTTGGATCTGTTTCTGTCACGAAAGTCTGGTTCTCATTATTCCGCACCGCCAACCTACCTGCTACCTGATAGCCCCCATTACTGCCTTTGATACATATTCTGACACCTACACCGCCGGCGCCTATTTCCCTTTCGTAAACGGTCGTTGCCATTTTTAACGGTCCATGCCACCATTGGTAACCAAACCTTTAGTTTACAATAATGACAAGTTACAATAATTAGGCAAATAATACGTTTTTGAATAGTCTTAGAAAGAACGAAGTTGAAGCCCAAGTTTAATTTACGTTAAAAATTATGGTCATCTGTAACTGATGTAACAGGTACGAAAGACAGTTTACTAGTGTATGTACTTAAATTTTTTTGAATTTTTGCGGGTCGGTGTGGTAGCGTAGTGGTAAGGGAGAGAGATTAGGATACGAAAAGTCTGGTTTCGAGGTTGGACCCTGGGTTGCGACCTTCCTTTTTTTTATTGAAACGCTTTCAATAATAGGTCAAACATTTTTTCGGTGTCTTAAAAATGGCAGCGACCATATACGAAAGGGACTACTGCGCCGCCGGTAGCAAGGACCATCGCAGGTATTTGCCGCCGGCATGCCGGAAAAGTTGAACCCCAGTCAGCTTTGTAGGCATAACGGCGGAAACTGCCAATGTTGTCGACGACTTCTTTCTCCATATCGGACAGTACCTGTCAGTGACCTGTGATGTAGCCACTGTTATTGCTTTCGATAGGTAAGTGGCATAATTAGAACTCTGCGTGAGAGTTTCGTACACAGTAGAGGACATGGTTCTTGGCTGAGTGCGGGGCCGTTCGTCACAGAACGACCTGATGGTCGAACTAGCCATGGCCAATCAAGTCTTGAAGCAAAATAGGATAAGTCACGGTTGCTTGAATTTACTTAACTTGAGCAGCTTATTGCATACCTGACCTTGCTAATGAATTACTTTTTGGCACGTAACTGAAAACGGCTTATTTGAGGACTTACTTGTTATATCCTCAGTCATTGTAACCAGAGCTTTGCCTTTACTCATCTCTACTGTCTCCACCTCTTCACCACTCATCGCCTCAATAAAGTTCAAAACTCCGTCTTGTGTCGTCGACTGACTCAGCCCGCAAATAAGCAGTTTCTTTGGCTCAAACTTTGCGTCTCCTCCTGTATTGTAGTTTGTATGAGAATCTTGAACATCCATTCCACTAGAAAGGCTCTGGGCTCGTCTTAATCCTAACTGGCCACGTCCTCTATTATTGGGTCCAGACCTCCCCCTATTCCCCTGGTCACGTCTAGTTGGATAAATTCCCTCTCTACCAGAAAAGTCAAGCTCGTCATTGTATATTTCACCTGCAAGGGAAAATGAACGTTCACGTCTCCAGTCTGGACCTTGGCCGCCGCCTCCTTGTCCGCGTCTAAACTGACCTCTTCCTCGCCCCCTTTGAGAGACTTGCGGTTGGCCTTGGAAAACTGAATCGCCTTCAAAAAAGTTTTCACCGCGTCCTCTGCGGCCACGACCCTTTGGTTTGGGTTGGGGTTTTGGTTGATTCCATCGTCCTCTCCAGTTACCACGTCCCCTCTGGCTCTGAAACATGTTGTCACCCACTGGAAATCCATGGGGAAAATCGTCTTTGTATTCTTGGAAATCTTCATGTGCCTGGAAGAACCCTCCTCTGGGTCTAAATCCTCCCCTTGGCCTTCCTCCAAACACTCGGCCTCCTTGTCTTATACCACGATCGTTCCCACGCGTTACGTTTGGTTCATAACTGTCGAAACTATTTCTCAGTGTCCTTTCTCCTTGTTCTTCCTGTGTTTTGTTTTGATTTTCATTGTTCTTCTTTCTTCTACCTCCCCTTCTCCTTCTTTTTTTCTGAGAGCCCTGTGATTCACATTTTTCATTCGCCTTGTTTTCTGATTCTGCCTGTGCAGGCGGGGGACCCCAAGCAGTGGGCGGATTGCTCGTGGGGGTTTTGAAAAGGTCGTGTGGATTTTCCATGTCCTGAAATTCCTGTAATCTCTGACTTGCCAAGTTCAGGTCTCCGTTAACATCATCGCGGCAAAGAACTCTTTTAATGAGAACCCTCGGTACGCAGGAGAAAACTTCCTCGAGCTTTTTCAGCTTTTCCTCCAGCTTTTCTGGATCCTCTTCTTCTTCAGTTTTCCTGGAGGAGGCTGTATCCATTGTAAAGTCCTCCTCCTCGCCGTCTTCGTTGCCTCTCCTTTCTTCGTCTGCGACTACAAAGTCCCTGATATCGAAATCCTCGCCTTCATTGCTTCCACTTTCTTCTTCCTCTTCCTCTTCCTCTTCGTAGCTGTTATCATCTTCTGCAATATAAAAAGCATTGCCCATGATCTACAAAGGTTTTTTGCATCCAGTGCTCTCCCATTCCCCCGAAAAGTAAAACAATTCAGTTAATGAATAAAGGGATACCTTACATGATTTCCCATATATCGCGGATCGCCCTATGACAAATCTTTAGAAAGAGCCGAAATTCTCCCTTTCTCCGAATTTCGTTAACCATTTCAATGTCTTCAAAGCGAAATTTCCAAATGTGGTTGGGTAAATTAAGATTATACCCAAGCGGGGGGGGGGGGAGGTGTCTCCGAGGAAATCTGTGGTACAGTCCGCCTGCCAGTATGACGTCACGTCTCGCGTCAGTAACTTTCAAAATGGCGAGCAAAGTGTTCATCGAAGAGACGGATAAAAATTTCGATTTTATCACAGAAATACTGTTCCCATTTCTTGGATTTGGAGATTTTAAGGTTTCTATTGTCATAGAAAACTAGACTTAAGTACTTTTTTGGAATGAAATGTCCAGTGGTGTAATGAATTTTAAAGATTCCTTTCTATCGTCGAGCAAATTTTACGGGTGTTACGAAAACTAAGACCTAAGACCTAAAGACCCGTCTTAGTTTTCGAGATTACGAAAACTAAGACCCCCCTAAAATCGAATCCGTCGAAGCATGAAGTCAAATTATAACAAAAGTAAGTTTCGAATCTGTCGAATTATCTTCTGTCCGATCATTTCCACGTAGTTTTAGGTTACATTTAGCGCTAAATTTAGGGGTCTTAGTTTTCGTAATTTCGAAAGCAAAGACACCTCTTAGTTTTCGATATTACGAAAACTAAGACCCCCGCAAAACCAATCCGTGAAATATATATGAAGTCGGATTACGACCGTTCAAAGACTATATTCCATAAAACTGCTGAAAACTACAGTCGACTCCCGATAACTCGAACCTTCAAGGGAAATCGAGAAAAGGTTCGAGTTATCGGGAGTTCGAGTCATCGGGTCCCAAAGAAAATATTCGAGAGTAAGGTAAAAAACAGTTTTTACTGCACAGTGAACATTTTAATTACATTTAATTGTAGAAATGTCAAGTGAAAATTAAAAGATACTTCTAGATTATAAATCAGATCGTAACGTAACAAAACATAGCCTAATTATAGCATGCGTTTTACTGTTTTGAGAAGAAAGGCTGCTTCACGTTAGCCTGAGACAATCAACATCAGCCTCCACTAGTAAACTATACTCCTACAACACGTCAATAGGAAATCCAAAATTCAATGTTTCGGACGCCCGTAGACGGTTTTTTTCCCGACTTTTTAAGGGCTCAAAACATGGTTGGAGTTATCGACGTTATCGAGGGTAAAATTATCTAGAAAATGACCTGAGGGGAAACGAAAATTGTTTCGAGTTAGCGGGAGTTCGAGTTATCGAGAGTTCAAGTTACCGATGGTAAAATTACAGTGAATGTATGACGGAAATCCAGGGAAAATTGATTTTGGTTCGAGTTAGCGCGAGGTTCGAGTTATCGGGAGTCGACTGTATCATCCGCCCGATCTGATTCTTCTACATTTGCAGACATATCAGTATTCATGCCCGCTCCCTACCCGCGTTAACGTTTCCGGAAGCGATATTGATGATATTCAGGTAACGCAATCAAGTTTGCAGCGACATGTCAGCGCCTACTAACCGACTAAGACAAAAATCCATCTATAGGGGAATGCCGATTTTACGGTTTTAAGAATAAACTGGGTACTGAACCAAAGTTATCGATAAATCAGGGTAAGGCATATTTTCAGTGTACAATTAAAAGCATGTAGTCGATGGCTTTCATGCTTGTGTAAGCCTGAATACTGATATACCTGCAAATTTGAAGAATCGGATCGAGCGTATGATAGTTTTCAGCAGTTTTATGGAATATAATCTTTAAACGGTCGTAATTCCACTTCACATATATTTTACGGATTGGTTTTGCGGGGGTTTAGTTTTCGTAATATCGAAAACTAAGAGGGGTCTAATTGTTTTCGAAATTACGACAACTGAGACCCTTAAATTTAGCGCAAAATGTGACCCAAAACTCCGTGGAAATGATCGGACAGAAGGTAATTCGACAGATTAGACCTATTTCTGTTATAATTTGACTTCATCATATTTCGACGGATTCGATTTTAGGGGGTCGATTTTAGGTAGTTTTCGTAATCTCGAACTTAGGCCTTAGGTCTAAGATTTCGAGGTTTTCGTAACACCCCTGCCAAATTTTACGGGCAATAATACCGACCGGTCACACTTTTCAGGACCAGTGCACAGCAAGATTGAGGAGTTTAGACACAGCAACAGGAAGTTAATTAAAGGATGAATTATAGTTTAAACTGTGCGTATTTTCAGCTCTTCAGAGCTAATGGAACCCCATATCATTCCTCTCAAAGTTCGCTTAGCTGTAGCGTGCAAAGAGGAAGCTAAATGACAGGTAGTTGTGAGAGACTGTGAGCATTGAATCCTGTTGCTTTTCCGCATTTTAATACTGTATTGGGCATACACCTCTAATTTTGTGGTGTACCGTGTGTCGTTTTTCATGATTTTAACTAACATTGAAAAAAAAAAATCAGCTTTTTAGAGGAGGGACATGTCTTGACAGCTTATGGCTTTTTTCTGGTCGAAAGCTAGGCCAGTATGCAGATCAAGAGCTTTTGAAATCCCTTTTCCAAAATAAAACTCCGGACTTAACCTTGAAATATATATTGATCCAAGTGCATAAACAGCAGGGTCAGCGGTAAGAATAAAGAAAAAAAGGCCAAAAGGAAAAATAGTGTTGAAACAAAGAGACCAAACAGGAAAAAAAAACTTTACAGAGAAACAGAAAACAGCGTCGCCGGGAGTCTGGGGAGTAGAACCCGGTTTATCGGCAGGTCCAAGCAACTCCTTGAAAAGTTATTTTGTTATATCAAAACAATTTTGTTTCTGCTATAGACCCTGTTTGAAGCTGGTGGAGCTGTATTTATCGTGAATTCAAATAAACATTTGAGGAAAATTAGCTTAAGCGCTTATTTCAAAGCTATTTCGCATTATTTCGGGTTCAACGGGCCGACTCGATGTAGATAATCGATCGAACTAGCTTTACGGAATTTAGTGGAGAATTAGGAGATCAACAGAGGCCCACGCTCGAAAGGAATGATATGAAGTTAGGCCCGTTTCATTAGCAAAAGAATAGATGAAATATAAACATGTGTGATCTGTGAATGGAACCTTCTATTCAGGTGACTAGACCCTGCCTATTTTAGAGAAAAAAAGATTTAAGTTTTGATGACCTTGCCGGTCCCGTGAAATAGATGGCGATCCCGCAACACGGCCCGCAAAACAAATTAACAAAACTATACAATCACGGACACAAAATATCAAAACGGTTTACACAAGCAGATTATAGCAACACCAAAGCTCATACACATTCAATCAAATAAGCAATATATAGCGACATTTGCTAACGTAGCTTTTCCTTAACCTCACTCGTCCAAATAACTGTCGTATCCCTTGCTAATTTGCACAAGGGCCCCGAGGCTTTTACCCGTTACTATGTGACGTCATACTGGCAGGCGGAGTGGGTTAAGAAGCTTAGGTGGAAAACAATAGACTTACCTTCCCCCCCCCCCCTGCACCCAACCTTCCCTTTTATAACTTTTTTTTAGAGGTCTTTTTAGCAACCCTTTTCTTTAAGTCCACTTTAGACCACCCCCTGTTCTTTCTAAATTGCACAAGGGCCCCAGGGTTTTTTCCCCTTATTTTGGGAACGAAACAGGGGGGGGGGGGTGGGTTAAAAACCTTAGGGGAAAAAAAAAAAACTTTCCTCCCCCCCCCCCCCCTGCACCAAAGCTTCCATTTTATTACTTTTTTTTAGAGGATCTTATAGCAACCCTTTTCATTAAGTCCGCTGTAGACCACCCCCTTGTAAGTTGTTAGGGTTCTCTTACCCTCCAACATTATCGTTTACAGAGGGTCCCCAATAGGGTTCTTCATCCCCTTATCCTGAACCAAATTTTCGCTTAATCCCATAATTTGGATGGTCATTTTCAGCATTCTGTATTCCCTGCAAACTTTCAATCCCGAATCGCATCCCGAATTCTGGCCTACAAATAAGAGGCAAATCCCGGATCCCGAAAACCATATTGGGCACCCAATGCGATCTTCTTGTCCACAGTTTACAGAAGTCAGTACAGGAGAACGTAACGGATATATATATATATATATATAACACCTCGAACAACACTTTCACCAGCCAGTTGATATACAAGATAATCCTTTTATAACGAACCCTTGTATCAGACCCTTGTCACTTGGGTAATGTCGACACACACCCACGAACATCAGTACGTCAGACAAATAACGCATTCATCCAAAATAGGAAGTAGAAGTCCTTATCTCAAGCGATTCCGGAAAGTCCCTTGTCCGAGGAGGATGGAGACGAGAGTGATGATAAATTCCCAGAAATATAACCGACAAATATGTCTTGCTTGACTTGCTTAAACTATTGATTTAAATCGTTTTTCTTTTATTGAGAAGTCTGGTCATTTTTACCCCGACAGTTCACCTGAGATAATGACACCCGTTTATTTGTTTTGTTTTGTTTTTGGTTTTTCTTCGACTCATTTCTAGAAAACGAAAGGGCAGAGATGGTTACAGGGGCTTTCCCTTGCAACTTCCTAGAAACAGCTAAAAGATTTAAAAAATAAATATGTCGCTTTCAATCTCTTTCCCCTTTTGAGCAAGTATAAACACACACACAAAGCAATATGATTTAGACCATTGATTCGCCTGGAAGCACTATCTGCTGTAGATACTGAATATACTGAGAGTCACACATGACCGAACACCCGGTTTTAGAAGCCAACTGCTGTAACCAAAGCGAAATAGTGATCGTGACATACTGACATGTCAGGCTTATCACCGGATCCTTTTAAAACCCAAAGCTTGAATGGCTTATGAATTAAGTAAGTCTTATTTAATAGAGGGAAGCAATTCTCAACATTTGAAGGATGAATATATGAGGACGCTCTGAGGCAAGATGCATGTA